GCAAGTACGTTGGCTTTCTGATGTTCTGGATGTGTCTTATGCCCGCCCCCCCCCCCCCCCGCTTTCCTTCCCCTCTACCCAGTCTTAGTAGACTTTAACCTCCAGTAAGAGGATGTTAAAGTCAGGTGTTCTTTTCTGGACTCGAGAATTACTAAGCCCTAGCCCTGACTGTCATAAGACACATCCAGAACATCAGAAAGCCAACGTACTTGCTGATGTAACGACCAACTCACGAGTCCTGTGGGACACTAATCATTTGGGGACTGAGAATTTTGAAAAATCAGGTTCCAAAATCTGAGTTCATGATAAAAACGAGGGCCACGCTTGGGTGGAGCGAATAAGGACCTAATGGGAGACAAGGGGACTCTTCTACAGGTCTACAGGACTAAGATCTTCATCTCCGCCCCTATGATCCTACTTTCTGGCTTTAGTCGGGGCCTTCTTCCCAACACTTATGCGGTGCAGCAACCCCCAGCCCCGGTCTCACCTTCCACGCAGTCCGGACACCAGCTCTTCCCTTCGGCATCCTTGGAACCGCTGAAGTAGGCGAAAATGGTCTTGCCCTGGTGCTCCTTGACAGCCTGGTCGAACTCCTCGAAGCCGGACACGCTCACCTCCGTGAAGGTGGCCATGGGTTCAATCTCAACAGTAGCCTGGTTGACGCTCTGGGTCCCTGCCATCTCAAGGCGGGGCCCAAGTAGGGCGTGGACAAATTTCCGGGTGGGAGGTACCACTGGAGCTGCACCATGCTACGGGGGCCTCGGATGGCCATAATTCAGCAGAAAAGTCGTTTTGGTCTGCTGGAGTTTCTTTTTGGCGCCAGCTCCCCTCTGACATCTAGACTTCTGACCTGGTCTGAAACCCATCCTGGCCTCATGTACAGTGTCTACAAAACCCGTTGCAGTACAACACCTTGCTCCTCAGATGGTTCAGGAAGCTCAACGTTTCCCAAGCGGCCCCGCGCCTGTTGCCATGGCGACTGGGCGAGAGGCCGGAAGCGAGGCCTAGCTTTTGGTTGCCTGTCCATCTCCGGGTCGCCGCGCCTCGCCTAGGACAGGTGGGCTCGGGCCGGAGGCTGGGGGAATTCTGGGAAGCTGCATTAGGCAGAAGGGACAAGCGAGAGGGTTCCTTGTCCCGGCTTGTCTTGCAGCTCCGCCCCTTCAATTACCTTTCCATTTGTCAGGCTTTAGGGGGGCCGGGGCGGGGGGTGGCGTCCGGGACTGGGCGGGGGGTACGGAGAGAGCTAGGAGGCAGAAAGGAGGCGAGGGCCGGATCCGAGTGTTGTGAGTGCGTGTGCGGGGCATGCTGTCTAGGGGAACAGGTGCAAAGACAGCGTGCCCGAGGTTGCGTTGGGGAAAGGAATTGTCCCGGAGCTGCGAATCCGGCGGTGGGCCACGGGGCCCTTTCTGGAGCGGCGCAGGTGTACTTAGCAGCAAAGATGCCGGCTCGAAGTGTGGTGGCCGGCAGGTCGCGGAGGGGTGTTCTGCCCCTGTGGGCAAGGAGGTGGGGTGCAAGGATGTCCCGAGGCTATGGAGGAAGGCGCCGGGCGAGGTCTTCAGTACGGCGGATGCGCTGCGCTAGCATGGGAAGGTTGCAGGATATTCGGCGGCCTTTGGGGATGAGACGAGCTACGGAGCCCGCGGTTCCCCCTAGAGTGAACAAGGCGTTTGGAACACTTAGGACTGCAGGCTCGGTTGAGGCAGCAATGAACCCTGGAGCAGTGTGGGTGAACGGGGTAGTGGGCGAGCCAGAGGTGATTGGGCCTGCTGGGTCTGTGTGGGTGACTAGATCTGGGCAGGAGGAGCCAGAAGATAGTCCACCAAGCTCTGAGAGAAAAGGTCGACCAGGAACACTTGGCCACGAGAGCATCCTGGAACTGTGGTTGAAGGTACAGGCTATGAGGGTAGCTTCAGGATGCTGGGAAGGAAGCAGAGTGGAACTCCATCCTGTTCCTGCGGGAGAGGGGCCAGTCGAAAAGGGTGTTCCTGGGAGAGCTTCCTGGATAGAGACCAGCCGAGATGGTGTCACAGGACCCTGGGTGAGAGGGCATACTAGGGCATTCCCCCGGGCCTCAGGACTACCCTCAGCTAGGGGAATAGGGGCAGGTTGTGAGAGACCCTCCATCTTCTGTAGGCAGGGACAAGCTGGAAAGACGCCCCCTGCTGTGGGTGGACCTGGAGTAGTGGAGAAGATAGGCTGTGCTGCCTCTGGCCCTTGGAAAGAAAGACAGACTGTGGGGGTGCCTGTGGCCATAGGATGGTCCGAGGCTGTGAAAACGTCCAGAGCTGGAGATGTGATGGAATGTGGGGGTGTACGACGGGGAGGGCAGTCTGTGCAGGTTTCTGGGGCTCTGGCAGAAGAAGCTGTATATGGGCCTATGTTATGGGAAAGGGGGCAAATTGTAGGGCCCCCTGATGCCTTGATGGTCTCACCCAGGACCGTGGAAGATGAAACTCCCTCCCAGGGAGCCACAGGGTTGTGGCAAAGGAGACAAGAGATGGAGGATATGGGTTCTAGGTGTTTTCCTGGCCTCGGGGCCATGGGGCAGTCTGTAGGAGTGCCTTGTGCTAGAGTAGAGGGAGCTAGATGTGGAGGTGACCCAGGGTCATGGGGAACTGCACAGGTTGCAGAGCTGTTTGCTTCTGAGGAGCAAGGGGCGGGTTCTCGAGGTGCCCAGGGCCTGTGGGGTATAGAACAGGCAATGGGAGCACCCAGGGCTTTGGGAAAGGAGGCAGATGATGCGAGTGTTCCTGGACTATGGGGAACAGGCCAGCTGCCAGGCTCGCAGACTGTGGTGGTGTCTGGAGACAGGGGAGAAGAAACCAGCTATAGTGTTTCAGGCCTGTGGGAGAGGCAGCAAGCTCTGGGGACACCTCTGGCTGAGGCATTACCAGGGCCAGTTATGGAAGAGACACACGGTGGGAGTCTCCTAAGCCTGTGGGAAAGGGAGCAGGTCATGAGCGAGCAAGAGGCTCAGGGGCCTGCAGCTTTAGGGGTAGCCGGCGCTGTGGGTCAGGATGCCAGCTGTGGAGCTCTCTCATGTCCGTGTGGGAGGGGGCGGGCTGTGGGGGTGTTTGAGACAGTTGCGATGCCAAAACACACGTGTGCCCCAGAAAGCATACCCTCAACCCTGGGTATAACTGATGCCTTGTGGGTGTGTCAGCAAAGCAGCTCTGCAGATGCCTTGAACCTGCAGGAAAGGGCTCATGCTGCCTTTGGGAGGCCCGTGGCTCCTGAGGAGTGCTTATCTATAGTGGAGGATGCTGAGTCTGGGCCTCTCTCAGGTTCACAGGGAAGGAGACAAGCTGTTGGGGTTCCTATGGCTCCTGAGATACCTGGTTCTCTGGAGGTAGAGGCTGGTTCCAGAGGTTTCTCAGGCTTGTCAGGGAGGAGTGTAGGTATACCTGTGACTGCGGAGGTATCCCCTGCTGGTGTGGGCATGGCTCCCAGGACATCTAGTTCTGTGTTTGAGCATATTAACTCTAGGAGAGTCTCAGAGTCAGCAGAAAGCAGGCCACCTATAGGGATATCTGTGACTGTCGGGCTCCCTGAGGCCATGGGGGAAGAGACACTAGCTGAGGGTCTACAGAGAAGACAGTCTGCCTCGATGCCTGTAGCTACTAGAATTGCCACAACTGTGGGAGATCCCCCAGCTTCTGGGCTCTTTGAGCCTTACAGGGTAGTAGATAGTGCCTGTGGAGACAGCTCGGGGGCATGGCAAAGAAGACTCATAACCAATTTGTCCAGTGCTGCCAGAGTTCCTAAACTTGAGATGCAAGCAGGCTCTGAAAGTGTTTCTGATCTGTGGAGAAGACACAGTGGGACAGTTCCTGAGGTAGTGAGGGGAGCATTTCATCAGGGGATGCTTGCAACTGTTGGGGTTCCTGTGGTTGGATGTGTACCTGCTGCAGTATGGGTGACTGGCTCCCCAGGAGAGGAGGCCAATGGAGGTGTCTCTGACCTGACAGTGGTTAGGAGGCAGTCCACTGAGGGAGGAAGGGCATCAGGGGAAGAAACAGGGAGTACAGGGATCCTGGGACTTTCAGGGAGGGGCCAGACTGTGGGAATGTCTTATACCCGTGAGCTTGGTGCCAGGATGTGGGGCAGTCCAAGGTCTGTGGGGGAGGAAATAACCTATGAGAATATTCCCAGAGTATCGGCAATGAGAACACCTGTGCTCTCAGTTTCAAGAGAGGAAACAGGCCCTGGCTATTTCAGAGATAATCTGCAGGGAAATGGGGGCAGAGCCACAGGAGTAGCCCATGAAGCTAGAGTGAGAGTGAATGATTTGGGAGAGAGAAGGGAGGGTGGATTGAGGGGCACCTCCCAATAACTATGCAGAAAGCAAATTGGAAATCGTCCTGGGATTCTGGGAGGGAAGAGGTTGGGAAAACTTGTCTTGGGCATAAATGAAGGAACAGGTTAGTTTAGGGGCCTTAGGGTTCCTGGAGAGATACTATGTGGCAGTGTCATGCACGGGGTGTACAGGGAAACTAACTAGGAGACGCCTGGAAAGACAGGGAACGCATCACAAGAAGAGAGCTATCCCAGGACTTTGTATAGGCAATGGTGTGGTGTAGTTGTCCCCGGACTTGTGCATGAATGTGTGTGTGATTGATGAGGTGTACAGCCCCAACTCTGCAGCTCACTCTGTGGCTTCAGCTCAACCCTGTAGCGCCAGCAGGCCAGTTGGCATTGCCTTGTTCATGTGCCTCCCATCTGCCTCTTGGATCATATCTCTGTAGTCTTAGAAACAGGGAATCGTGTACAGTTATCTTTATGTTCCTACAAATGCATTTGCCTTTAAGAGGATCCGGTCTGTAAACTTCAGATTTATTTTTTAAAAATTTAAGCTAGTTTTTTTTTTCCCTCTTCACCTTGAATTTCCCAGTTGGCTTACTGCTATAGGATTTTTTTGAGAGAACAAATTCTTCAGTGTATTTCAAACTTAGAGTTTCTCAGAAAATTGTTCAGTGCAACCATGTTGAGTTAAATTGTTGACTGTGTTCAAGTACTGATTGTGGGAAATAAAAAGTGTCAAGGCCCTCGAGTCTCAAGGAGCCTTGTCTAGCTGGAAAGCTGAGACACAGACCTTGAAATAGGTAAATAATTATGTGTGAGGACATGGTTAACCCTTGACTGACAAGACCGTTCAAGTATATTAAGAATCTTCAGAATAGAAAGAAGGATGAGGGTGGGGCTTTTATAGCTTCTTAGATTCTTCGGTAGCTGTGGGCTCACTGCGAATGTATACAGGATGCAGATAATGAGGGAGCTAACCACAGAGAGCCCATTCAGCGGGTTAAATCCCAGCTCTATTTAGAATCGCTCAGAATTTTATCTGAGTTACATAATAGAGAAATACATTCTGCTCTTTAGACAAGTCATTAGGATTTATGCGTGTAGAACATGCCTGTGGAACTATCTGGTCTCAGCAATAGTTTATCATAACAGAACTAATGTCTTACTGTAGACCCTTGGGATTTGACTGTGGGTTCACTCTGGAGTGCTGCTATATAAGCATGAGATTGTGGGTTGCTTAATCTGGTGTTTGAAGATTGTTTAACTTTAGACATTTTTTTTCTTTCATTTAAGAAAGATTTACCTGAAGACTCAGTGGTCACTGATGTTCTTCATCACCTGATGTGATGGGACCAAGCCAGCCAGCTTCTACCTGTGTTCATCTAGCATCCAGTATCCAACTAGA